TTGGCCAATTGCAAAATTTTCTTGGTGTTGAAGTTGCTTGTTCTACTAGTGGAATTTCCATATCACAACGGAAGTACACACTTGACATTTTGGATGAAGCAGGCTTGCTTGGGGCCAAACCGTTGTCAACGCCTATAGAAGAAAACCTTAAGCTCCTACCAACAGTGGGAACACCATTGAAGAATCCATCCGCTTATAGAAGGTTGGTGAGTCGACTTATATATCTTACCATCACAAGGCCAGAGATAACTTATTCAGTCCACATTCTGAGCCAATTTTTGCAAGAGCCAAGAAAACCCCATTTAGATGCTGTTCATCACCTTTTGAGGTACTTTAAAGGTGCACCTGGGCAAGGATTGTACTTCCCAGCCAAAGGTGACTTGCTACTAACGGGATTTTGTGATGCGGATTGGGCTTGATGTTCAATCACAAGACGATCTGTTACTGGTTATTGTATTTTCCTAGGAGGAGCAATTATTTCATGGAAGACCAAGAAACAAATGACAGTGCCAAGGTCTTCAGCTGAGTCAGAATATCGAGCCATGGCCTCGATTACATGTGAGATAAGATGGTTGAAATACTTACTGGATGACTTGCAGGTGAAGCATCACACAACCAGTCAAATTGTTCTGTGATAGTAGAGCAACACTCCACATTGCTGCAAACTCGGTTTATCACGAACGTACCAAGCACATAGAGATCGATTGCCATGTTGTTCGGGAACAAATTCAAGCTGGAACTATAGTGACTGCGTATGTTCCATCAGCTTGCCAGCTTGCTGAGTTGTTCACCAAGCCACTCAATTCATCAGCTTTTCATTCTCTTCTCAGCAAGTTTGGCGTCCTTGACATACACGCTCCAACTTGAGGGGGAGTATTACAGGAAAGAATATGAAATTTGCCATTACAGGAAAGAATATGAAATCTGCCAATAATAGAATTGTATACACGTTTTTGTATTTTTGGTTGATTGTAATTGATTAGTTCCCAAGAATAGGATAGCTAATGTAGTATATAGAAACGTGCTTTCTCCTTTGTAAATTATCATTCAATATACAAATTACCTTCTTCCAAATCACTCAATCTTTCACTGTGCACGGAGACCTTCCTAATTTATTTATTTATTTTTTGTTTCTTTCCTCCGTGCACGGAGACACTGTCTCCGTGCATGGAGACTAATCTCTGCGTGCACGGAGAGATTACCTTTTTTTTTGCTGTGTAGTTTTACGTTATAATTTTTTTCAATTTAAAATTCTCTTTAATTCTTTTCTTATCAAATTTTTTACTACAAGTAATATGTTGTAAAAAAATTTTCGTCGCATATTTTCTCTGTCTTTTTTATTTTATTTTATATAAAAGTGATTTTTTTCTTATATCCCTACTATAAATATTTATATTGGAGTGAGGGAGGAATGAAATTGCGTATTGCAGTAAATTTGGAGGTAGTGTATAATAAAATAAAATATATATCAAGCAAACGGTGTCATTTTTGGCCCTCAATTGAAAAAAAAAAAAACAAAAATACTACAGTAAAGATAGATCAACATACTGTTGCTTTCTACAGTGCCCTCACATTCCCCTTTTTATATAGTAGGGAAAACAAAAATTCTTCTTCGAATTGCGTGTTCATGCATGGGCTGTGATTTTTTTTTTTATGTAGTACTTTTATTGTAGACAACCATTGTATTCAATAGAGGAGCATGTTTACTAAAGCTTAAAAAGTTCACTTATAAGTAAATAAGTAAGTTTCACAATAATATTTATTGGTCAGTTCAAAATTCGTAAGTTGCTTATTTTGACAGTTACTTTCATAATAATGACTTTTTCTTGGAAGCCATTTAAGAAAGAAGTTCATATAGTTTAGTTTCCATGGCCATCTGCTGGGATAAGAAAAACTATATTAAGTCTACGGTGTAAACTATATCCACTGACGTTCCTAATAGCTAGGGGTCGATTATAATTTTTCTGTTCTGGTGAGAGGTTAACCATTGTTTTTTCATTTTATTATTCCTTATTCACTCATAAACATCTCTCTCTCTCTCTCTCTCTCTCTCTCTCATCTAGGTATGCTTTAGTATACTCAAATGATACAAAGGGATTAGGGGGTGTGATCTTCATAGCTAATATTTGGGGAAAATGTTCGGGGGGTTGATATTTTAAGCCTTTGAGCTTTTGCCTAAATCTAAAATTCACTTACAAGTAAATAAGTTACTTTCAGAATGATCAACTTTTTTTGCTTGAAAAGTACGAGAGGAGAAAGTGCCAAATTTGTGAAAGGAAAAAAAAAAAAAGTCACTTAAAATTAATCTTAAGTTTTCGTTAAGCTTAGCCTAACATTTTTATTGCCTATCTTTACTTGCGTTCAACCATACAAATAACATTTGGTGCAGTGGTTGCACGATGCTTTTGAAGAACAGGATTGAAGGTAAATCGAGTTAACGTCGTGCTCGTTGGCAAAATGCATTGGTGATGGAAATGTCATTAAATTAGGAGCTTGTTTGATATAGCTATTAATTCAATTAAACTTAATTTTTTGACCGTTATTTTACTATTTCAGTCGTCATTTTTAAATTCTTCTCTCACAGATAGGACCAACTTTATCTTTTACGATTAAAAAATCAATTATCAAAATCTCTACTAAACGAGCACTAGTATTATCATTTAAGATTCTGTAACTTGAGAGCCGAAAATAGACTCGGTCTATCTTTTCTTGAATCAATTCTTGGAACACACCGCCTCCAGGGGCATAGCCCAGTGGTGCAAAGAATAGGAGTGAGGTTATCTCACATCTTGCTGGCAGCCGCAATGTGGGAGTCCGATTCCTGAGACATGAAATTGAACTCTTTGTAGGCGCAGTGTACAAACAACTCTTGTTCCCTGACTTGTTGGGCACATCCTGCTATTTACCTCCCTCACAAAACTCTAAGAACGGGACTGTGGGGGCCCTCAAGGTTGGGGTTCAACCTTTAATTTTTGGAACACACCCTCCCATTTCCTACCTTTTACTATTTTAGTCCACTGTTTGGAAGCACGTGTGATTTTTGTAGTACAATTATTTACTTGTTATTCTTACCCTCACATGTTACCTAACGGACAACAATTTTGTCCGTCTCTTCGAGTATTAGTGGCTATGAATAAAATTTCGAGTTTCAAGATTTTTCTGGGATTGCCAATAATGTAAATATTTTTGGGCATGTGCTGAATAAAAGCAAATTAAATTATTTGAAAAAAAAAATACGTATATAGTAATTGGATTTCCAATTAAAATCGATTGAGACAGAAATGTCAAAAATTTATGGATGATTTTTATTAATTCTTAACAAATCCAAAAAAAGTCATTTAAAAGTCTACAATAGTAAGAGTATATCCAAAAGATTATCTGTTTTTAAAAAACATATTCTATCGTTTGGAAAATATATATAAATTTAGAAAGTTAAAATTTTGAAATACTTTAACAAGTTTTTTATATTTAATATTTAATTTTAGAGAAATGCTATAGAAATAGGCCTAAAACAGGCTTAAAAAATAAAAATCGGCTGCACACATGTCTATGCATAACTGGGGGTTTGAAAATTTTGAAAAAAAATAAAATCCAATAACTTGCTACCACGTCAATTTGTTTCTATTCCCTATTTTTGAGTCTGTTTGTTTATCATTTTTGTTAATTTTACTGCTCTAAAAAAATATTTTATCATTATTTTTTGTATCTTTTAATTTAACTAGTTTTTTTTCTAGATTATTATTTATATATTGTAATCGTGTTTTTTTGTTGAAAAAACGTAAAGTTACCATTTTATCCTTTTAAAATTAGTCAAAATTATAGCTAAGGTCAATTTTTTGATCAACAACGATCAAACTAACGGTTGGACAGCAGGTGCTAATTTTTGAAATGTTTGATACCATGGATACTATAAAGTAAATGTTTGGGTCAAGTATGCATAAAAATGAAATATTTGATATAGCAGCTGCAATTTCCGTAATTTTTTTTTTTTTAAAGTCCTAATTGGATAGAGTGCTGCAATTTCCGTAATTTTTTTTAAGTCCTATTTGGATAGAGTAATATTATTTATAGTCAACGATTGCATTAATTATCTTATCTGACAGCCTATTATTTCATACATTAGCTTGTTATTTGAGGCAATATAATTTTAGGAAATTAATGCATCAAACTAGAAGTTGCTTCCTAGGGTAATTAAGTTAGTAGCTGATTATGAATAGCATTAATTATTGAGCCTCTATTTGTTTAAGCTAAAAAAGTAAAGCCCTGTTTAAACCTCATTTTTTACAAAATATATTTTTCTCTTCATTCTTTTTAACCACACATTTTTTAATAAAATAATATTATACATAAATTTAAATTTTTTTCTTATTTTTTAACAATAAATTCTCCATCAATCTACTATTCAAAAATACATTATTGACATTTTAATGGGGCTCAAACAAGCTCAAATTAAGCCTTATTTGATGGCTATTATTTTGGAAAAATTATATTTTGAATAGTAAATTTTTAGAGAACATGTGGTTAAAAATTAGGAAAAAATTTCGTGTTTAAGTGAAAAATATTTATTGTTTGATTGCGTGGTTGAAAATGAATACGTAGAAAAAAATATTGTAAAATAATGATTGTCAAATTGGTGTTATATTCAAAGTCAAAATCAATGAGTAATTTTAATCATACATTTTATGAATTTGTAACTTTTCAATCATTCATTTTATCAACTATTATATTTGTTTATTAGGTGTGTGTATTTTTTTTTCCTTTTTCAATAATTAGGCCCGTTTGATTTTTTTTTTTATCAAAATAATTTTTTTTCTCTATTCTTTTTAACCGCACATTATTTATTAAAATAATATTACACGTAAATAAAAAACTTTTATTTATTTTTCATCCACACATTCTCCATCAATCCCTATTCTAAAATTCATTTTTCGTGTCAAACGCCCACTAAATTTTGTTCGGAATGAAGTAAACATACAAATCTCCATCAATCCCTATTTAACCACATATTATTCTTCCTCTCCTCCCCTTTTGCTGCCGAGACGGTAACTCATTGATTTACGCACACACTTCACTTTCTCTCTCTATAATTTTGAACTGCACTCCTCCTCTCTGTGATCATCCCTTCCAATGGGTTCTCTTCATATTCAGCAACCAGAAAATATAGGGAGTGAAATAGATATGCAGCGCTTATCGATATATTACTTTGTATAGTTGTATAGACATAAAGAAGCCATAGATTGATGGTTGTACACGTTTATATGTGGACAATAATACCATCTGAGCCCTTTTTGAATTACGTGCAATCCCGGCTCTCCGAAACAGTGAGTCCACTCGCAGTCTTCACATAAATTTAAGTTCAATTTATATTTCCGGGCAATTCTAATTTGTTTACAGTTCAATTTGTGTGCAGGTTCTCGTTCTGATTTATTGATTTACCGTTCTTTTTTGGCCCACTAGAATTCTCTGTTCGTAGTTCTTACAGTGAGCTTTCATTAGCTGCTATTTATTTATTTTTTCGCGAAATTTTGGTGTTTATTGTGGTTGCTAGCAAATATGGCATCATATCATGGGAATACTCGGTCGGGAGCCCCTGAAATTGAACAAATAATTACTGTAATTTTCGCTGGATGTCTTCATATAATTCTTGAATCGCGGTGCCCGTATGTTTCATTTCCTAAGCATAGCAGTGAGCAAATTTTGTCATTCCCATTCCCATCGCCATCCTCGTCCCCATCCCCGCCGTCATCATGTTCCTCGTCGAGTATTGGGCTGAGGGATAAGTGGTTTAAACTAGCACATAGGGACTGCCCTGCGGCACTGGAGAACATAGGGTTTTCGCATCAGAGTAATCTCGAACCCATGATTGTTGACGTGATTCTAGTTAAAAGGTCAGGCAATTGGGACCTTGTGAATTATTCCCCAAAAAGAGGGTATGCAAGGAATTTGTCTGGCAAAGAGTGGTACCGTTGCAGTTCTGAAAATGATGAATTTGGGTGTGAGATTGAGAGTGAAAAAATTATTGAGAGGTGGGTTGTACAGTATGAGAGTAAGCAAAGCGGTGACAATGGTGGTGGTGTGATGGGGAGTAATCGAGCAACTTGTAAAAGTTCGCATGAACTATATAAGAAGTCAATACTGTTATTGAGGTCTTTGTACGCGACTGTTAGACTTTTGCCGGCTTATAAGGTTTTTCGTGATCTCATTTCGTCAGCCCAAATTCGGGCATACAATCTTGGTCACCGGGTATCATCATTTGTTGAGCCGTTCACAGGTAGAGAAGAGGCAGATATGCAAAGCTTTGTGTTCCCTCCACTTGACACTTCTTGTGGTAGGCTCTGCCTCTCAGTGGTCTATTTCTCATCAGAGTTGGATATCATTTCTGAGCCCTCCACCCCAATTTCTCCACAAGTCATTCACGAATACGTTGGGAGCCCAATGGTGGAACCACTTAAGAGGTTTACAGCTGTTCCTGTGTCTCAATGCTCCCCGTCTTCGTCTCCATTTGGGAGACGTCATAGCTGGAGTTATGATTTATATAGAGTATCTCCGTCTTCAGTAAATCCCTCACCTTCACCTACATACTCTGAATCTTGTGCTTCAATGCCAAAACAGCTATCACATCGGTTTCCTCCAGCAAGTTTACGTCATCATATTCCCAATGAAACACCTCCAGCTCACATGAAAGATCCAAATTTTCATGAGTACTGGCCTTCCCCTACATTTTCGCCATCATCATCGCCATCTCCATCACCACCTGCATACAATCCGGCTAGTCATATATTAAAGGCTCTTTTTCGGTCTGAAAGTGCTCCTTTTGGACTTTCTGTATCTAGGCTTTCTCCTCTTGCTTCGATGCCTAAAAACCAATTGTTGCCTCCGTCACCTTCCATGGGAACCTGTGGACACAGGGTTGCTAAGACTGATGGATATGCAGGTCTGTATCCGACTGGCTCAATGGTCGACAAGGTATTCTTCTTTCTCATCTTAGAAACTATATTTCTTTTTCCCCTGCCAATTTTTTAACTGCTATTATTTTAATAGTTGTTTGCTTCCGCTAAAGAGGAAGCTGGAAAGTTATCCGGGGTTAAGCAATCATCAAACAGCTCATCGATGAAATCATTCTCTAGAAGCCCCAGTAGGTTTTCTTTTCAAGATAATTTTGATGATTCTGAATTTTCTGGCCTATTGATTCCGGATGATGATGACCTACCCGAATCAAGTACCAGGTAATCACGTGATATTCTTGATGGGAGTTATTGTTATTATATACACGTGCGATACATGTGGCATTAACTGGTTTAGAGATTGGCACACTTATTGTATATTCCATGAAATCTAAAACTTATGCCATAACCAAATTAGCAACATGGTAAGTTTGAAAATATGTTATGTTTACCGAACAGAAAAATTTCTGAGCGTTCTGGAGCAAGGGATTGCACAAGTGAAGGAAAACAAAACTGTTATACAAAAATGTGCATATGTATTACGGGAGTGTTGGTATGTTTCAATCAACAATTGGATGCTTGACAAAATATTGGTGAACATGAAGAAGGCAAGTTAGTGGTGCTTAGAAAGGAGCACAAGATCTACAATATTTTTTATGCTCTCTTAAACATTGGAATAATTTTAATACTCTTCAAGATGACATTTGAAAGGGTGCTCAGAAAGAGATTTTATTTTGAATCTTCTGTGAAGTTCTTATCCACACGAGAGAAAGTTGTTTACCGATAGTCACGTTAAGGTGTGAATGATCTTACGAGTATTGCAAATTAATTGACTAGAGAATAGTACCAAGACATTATTGATGGGTAGTACTGAAGTTGGTTTTTGAGAGACGTAATTTTGGAGACCAATTGGTTCTAGAGAGAGAGAAAAATAGTTGATTTTAGTTTTAAGGTCTTTTATAAGTTGATGTTAATTTTAAGGTGTTTTATATTCTTACTTTAATTTGGGTTTTTGGCTAATGGAACAATGCATACTTTTACAAAATATATATGGACATCAGTTGCTTATAAATTTTGAAGAAAGGTTAAATAAAAAGCTTTTATATTCAAAGAAGTTTCAATATTGCTAAACCTGAGGAGTAGTTCAGTGGTCAGGCCTTGAGTTTGCTCTCCAATGGTCACCAGTTTGAGTCCCCTTAGGGCTACTGAGGTGAGTAGTCAGCTGTAAATTTCAGAGTCCCATGGGATTAGTTGAGGTGCTCGTAAGCTGGTTTGGACATCCACGTTAAAAAAAAAAAAAAAAAGTTTCCAACATTGCTAAATGTGGAGGAGCTTGGTATTGAAACTAGATTTGAAAACCATTGTTAAATGCATATAATTTTCGGAATTAGGTTCTCGGTGGCCGGTAATGTCACTGTTGACAAGAAGTATAGATATTGATTGCCATTTTATTCAGTAAGAAAGTATGAATGCTTATTGTACCTATATAAAATAAAAAAAATGCTTATTATAAAGAATTTTTAAATACTTTTTTTTTATTATTATTAGATAATTTTCATAAATATTCCAACATATTTGAGAAGTGTTTATATAGGGTTTAAATTATAAATAGATATAAGTGAGTGGTGAATAAGTGGGTAGTACGTGTGCATCCTGTTCTCATTTTATATGAGACCATTGAGTCCTCTTCCACCGTGGTTTTGTGAACAAGTCATAAACATGAGCCAAACATAGTTGTTTCCATGTAAGTCAAAAGGTGCCTTCGATATAATTAACTTCATTTAACTTGTTTGGAACCAAAAAGTTAAGTAAATGTCACATTTACGTTGTTTAATCTCAGTCAACATGCTCATAGTACCATTGCTCATGCTTATTGGGCAGGCTTGCTTTGAGCATCCAGTTATAGCATTTTTCTACTGTGTGTGTATTACTTTCTTTGAAGGAGCTTTGCATTGAACTAAATTGCGAGTCTCTTCAAATTTTATGACTGTCAGTATGTTTACAAACTGAAATTCCATTGTTGCTTTCAGACCGGATGCTGCAGCTCTTTTTCACTTGCTGGAGAAGGCACCCCCTCTCCGCCCAGACATCTCTATCACGACTAATTTGGTGCAGGACTCCAAGCCCGTGATTGAGGAAATTTCACCAGAGTCACTGTTGGGGGAATCGGCTTCTTTGAATTTCTCATCCTCTGAAATAGAGTCTTCCAAAACTACAGCTGATGCATTTACAGAGCTTGTGGAGTATAAGAAAATGAAAGAATTACTGCTGAAGCAGTGTAAAGGAACTCAGGCATAGTCCACTGCTGTTTATTACTATTATTATTTGGTCGAAATGGATTTTCGAGCAAAGCAAACCTCAACTTTTTGAGTTCCTATTAGCGTATTTCGAAGATTTGTAAATAATTTTCTTGAGTGTCGAAGTTTCTGGTCCATCATTGTATATATTTTTAGCTTGACTTGGAATTTCGAAAGAAGGTGTCTCTAATCTAACTGCAGATATTGCAGTTGAACTCTGTGTATGGTGTACAATACTTTTGGGTTGTATATAAATTTTGGGAAGTTGGATAAATGCTAATGGAGATCCTTGACGTGTAAATAATGTATAGGTTTTTACTTTTTATTATTTATTAGTTCGAATTTGTCCACCGATATGGTCTTTATTCAGTCCGAGCCGTGCGAATTCAGATCTTCATTGATCCAAAATAATAATGTTAACATTAGTGGCATTAAGTGATGTACTTAATGAAAAGTTAAATTAAGTAATTTATTTAATTATACCTTTTATTTAGTGTCACATTAGTATCATTTAGACAGATATTTAAGCCCCTATTTGTTTCTCATTTTTTCTTCATTAAAATGAAAAATATGACCGTTATCCATCACATCAAATCATCAAATTTGATTTCTATCTCTCGTGTAGAGTTCATAAAGGCTATACTTTTCATTCTCATTTTTATATTAATGTGTATCAATCTGAGCCTAAATATTCGTGGAGCTAAATAGTATTACTCGATCCATAAATGCTCCCAATTGCTCGTAATTAGTATTTTTGGTAAAAACAATATTTTGTACGAAATTTATTCTTCTTTTGAATTTGTTCAAAAAATTTGTTAATTTAATTGAAGGTAATTTGTTCTCGTGACATTTATTATGTTGATTTAAAATGTATTATAATAGAACGTCAATATATCACATCGAACAACGTTCAACTAATATATAAAATAGCCCATGTTAGACAATCCTTATAATGAGTAATTTTATTAAAATATATTTTGAAATAGTAATTTTTGAGAGAATGTGTATATAGAAAAGGAGGAATTTTTTTTATTTATGTGTAATATTATTTTATTAAAAAATAAATGATTGAAAAAATTGTATTAAAATTTTCATGTTACTCATATGACTCGTCAAAATGTTGATTTTTTATTGAAAAATTGAAATATTGATGAAAAGGAAGTTTGTTAAAAAAATTATAAAAAGAGGTAAATGTAAAATTAATATTTTTAATGAAAAAGGTGTTTCAAAAATTGTGAAAGTATAGAAATTATTTTTAAGTATCTTCTTCACCTATTGCAGTACACGTTGAAATCGGAAAATCTCAAATTCCAGTAGTTTCAGAACTCCATATTCAAAGATCGAGAAGCAGATGGCTCCGAACAAGAAAGGTAAATCGAAAGGCAACTCGGCCGAGTCAATTCCGCCGCCACCGGCCGCCGCTAAATACCCTGCGTGCATGCGGTTAATCCCACCTTCCTCCGTCGCCATCACCATCCACGCCAAGCCCGGTTCCAAAATCGCCACCATCACGGGTCCTCCCTACTTCTCATATGTTCATAAGATCAGTGTTTTGTGATAAAAGGAGGGTCTTGATTTTCACTCTTAATATTTGGGCAAAACGTACAGATTTTGACGAGGAGGCATTGGGAGTGCAAATTGATGCACCAGCCAAAGATGGTGAAGCTAATGCTGCCCTTATTGATTATATTAGCACCGTAAGCCCCCGATTATTAAACTATTGAATATATCTGTTTAGCTCTCTCTGAATGATGAATTGAATATTGCTTGTTTAGTTGTTTACCATTTTATTTATCCTTTTTGTTTCAATTCAAGTTAGTCTGATGGAATTATATGATATATGGGCATGCATAGCAATCTTCACTTTAATGGCTTATATGAATTTTCATGGCATTCTTCTGGTAAAAGTTTGGCCCACGGCTTGAAGTAGTGATATTTTTATGAACTGCTTATAAGTTTTATTGATGATGTTATTGTTCTGCTGTAAATTTGTATGTTGAATATCTTCGACTAAGTTTAAGCATAAAAGTATGATTCTATTTGACTTAAGTTTGATACTTCAAATGATCACTACACTATATCTTGAATATTTCTTAGTGGATGAAAATTTGTGAAATTTGGTGTCAGAATTACCAATTCAATTTTCAACTCCATGAGGACCATTAAGGGAAACTAGGCATTTGAAAGTATAAGAAACTGTGGATTCATTGAGTGAATTTATATTAAAGTGTAGCTATCAAGAGTGACTTATTTGAGTGGATTCATATTGAAATGTATTATATTTTTTAGTTTGCCATGTAAACAGAAAACATCTACTTGAGCTCCTTGATTCATTGCATATTTTTTAAGTTCTCTTGGTAATTAAGGTTTTACTATTTTTTAGAACCTTGAAAGGGACATTTGGATACTTATCAAGGTTTACAGAGAACCTTATTAATTGTGTCCACTGAATTTGTGATAATAATGTACCAATAAGTATGGCTGATGCTCATACAGAATTTTGTTTTGCATGGTAAATTTCAGGAGATAGAATTGGTCTCTTCTTTTGTTGGAGAAAAGTATTTTTTAGTAGAATTCAGCATTATTGAAAGTTTTAAGTAATTACTTAGTATTTTCGTTCAAGCAAGTTGCTATCTTGTTTAAATATCTTTTCTTTGTTCTTTTATGTCATGGTTTTTCTTCTTAGAAAGTAAGGTTTGATTCCTGTAGGCAAATTTTCAAAAGTATATCGGTCATTTTGAACAGGTTATGGGGGTAAAAAGAAGGCAAGTCTCCATAGGTTCTGGATCAAAATCAAGGGATAAGGTTGTGATTGTGGAAGGCACAAATTTACAGAGTGTATTTGATGCGCTAGATGGAGTTATAAAGAATCAGTGATATCAGGGGTTTTTGTTTCTACCTTTTACAATTGACCAAGATATACTTGAAAATGTTGTTCTGCACTTTGAAGTTGTAGAATCCCGTAATGAAAACTCTCTTGGAACCTTTGTCTCTATCCACATAGAATCTGTACAAATATGATATCAATGATATTTGGGTTTAATTGGTTATCATATGACACTATAATGTAGTCCTGAATCTACTGAGAAAACATTTGGTATTTCCATGTTTGTCTGGGCCTGTTCAAATTTGTGGTCTTCTACTTCAATGTTATTTTAGATGAGATCTTATAGATTGCATCGAAGTGAATAATGGAGAATAGAGGTGGGCATGGGTCGGTTTGGTTTGGTTCTCTTAGAACCGAACCGAAATCGAACCAAAATTTTTGGGTATCTAATAAATGGAACCGTCGGGTCCAAATATAATTATTGAACCGATCGGGTTCGGTTCCGTATTATAATTAATTTTTTAAACATTTATAACAACATTATATAAATACAAATAATGACACATTCAATGATTTTGGAATGTCAGAGGTTAGTAGATTACCTTGTTCAAATGATTGCTACGGTCAAAGTTTCGGTCGACGGAGGTCACAGCGTCGACCGGCGATTGTATAGGTTTTGGAATGTCAAGGACGAGAGTCGAGACAGCGTTATGCATTTTAGTGTAGGTGTTTAGGGTTATTTAGTGAGTTGGATCTTGTTGGGCTTAGAAATGAAACAATAAAATGGGTAATTGGGCAAAAAATTAAAAAATTAAAAATGAAACAAATTATTGGGCCAAAAATTTGGATTTAGAAATTGTTAATTTGTTTAGAAAATATTAATATTAAAATAATTTGATTTATTCAATATAAAAAAAAATTAGAAAGATTCGGTTCTTATTCGATTTTTCGGTTCTTGGTCTAGAACCGAACCGTACCCGTCGGTTCTCAATTCAGATACCCGTTCGGGTATTTAATTTGACAAGAACCGTCGGATTCGGTTCGGTTGGTTCGATACGGGAGATTTGCCCAACCCTAATGGAGAACAAAAGCTCCCAAATCAAACTTCCAAAAACCTGAAAGAAAATCCTAAAATCAAATGAAGCATAAGTTATGTGGCAGTTATATTTAACATCCAAGAAAATGGAAGTCATGTCGAAGAAGTGTTATTTCAACATTCATATTCTAATTGATTCGAACATTTGGTTCATTTCATAACTTAAGTTACTTAACCGCATGAATCAATCAGTAGCCTGCCTGCCTAATTTATTTTAACACTAAAGTTACATGCACAAAGGCACAAAAAAGATAAAACAGAGTAAAAAAGGCGAATAAACTAGCTAAAGAGCACTTGGGAAAGAAGTAGGACTTGGAGGTACTTGGTTGTCTAGTCCCTTCGAGCATCAATGAAATTTTCTTCACCAATGGACGGAGAGACGGTTCATCTACAAGGTTCTAAAATGTATAATGTGCGGCAAAGCGTTACTGTCGAGCATCAAGTATTGCAAATATATGCATGCTTATGTGTTTTTCAATTTTTTATATTATTTTAAATATTTTAAACTAATAAAAAAATAAAATAGCATTTTTTTCAACAAAAACATAATACTCAAAATCATGAATATTATAACTACTTGATAATCAATTCTTGCAATTAGATTAGGCCTCCGTTTGGCTCAGATTTTAATTAAATTTTAATTTGAGTCAAAGTCAAACAATCAATGTTAACCACATTTTTCATGAATCTCACAATTTTTTAACTATACATTTCAAAAACTTCTATGAAAATCTACTAAAAATCTAATTTTAATCCCTACCAAACACCCTCTACACACGAACTTCAACTTAAAAAGAATCTTAAATCTTGTCCAACTCTTTATTGATTCCAATTTAATCTCTTCTTCATCCAAGTGATCTTTCGTGTCATTTGATGCAAAATCATCTTCATTAGGCTACCTTATTTCAACTCGAGAATTGCTATTATTATCTTGTAGATGGTAAGATATTATTGTGAACCTCCTCCTCTAAATCACAGCTGTCAACAATCCAAGATTATACATTACTGGCCTCACTTGCTAGTAAAAACTAGAGAAGGATCAAGGATGGAGGCTCGGGCTTGACGTAGATAGTTTTCATCTCTAAACAACATTTGTTTTATTTTTGATTTTTTTAAAAGTCAAAATCCCACAGATTGCTGTATATAATTCATAGGCTTGTGTGATTTGGACTAATTTGATGTCTATTCAGCTCAATTTTATTTTCTTTTATTTTTCAAGTTACAAAAATGGGCTGGCTTTGTTAGGCTAATTTTGACACAATTTTTAACACAAATGTGTGCAAATTTTGTCGTTTAAGCGTGCATATGCGATCAACGAAATAGGTTGACTGCATTATCACGCGCATACTGCATATGCTAGATGTTTCAAAAAAGCATTGAGCATATGTGTGCATTTTAGAACATTGTTCATCTTAGATGCACCAAATACATTCTGTCCAATTTTCTCTTGTCAACCTCCTCATTTTCCCCTAGTTTACTTAATTGCCATGCCTAAAAAAAAGTCGTAAACCCATTCTTCGAGAATAGCTTCATCCTCAGAGAGGGTCCGATCAACAAATCTTCTCTTTGGCCACATATGATCTCTAGTAGCACAATTCCAAAGCCGTAAACACCTGCTCAACTGTTGGAGGCAAATTCCTGTGCCACTCTTGAGCTACATAACCTCAGGTTTCTTATCCCGGGTGTTTGTCTGATCTTTCTTTAAAAGTTTTGCCAGTCCAAGGTCCCCAATTTTTGCACACCTATGCTCATTTATGAGTTTGTTTTGAGGTTTTATATCGCAATCAATGATTTGTGTCTCACACTCGTGCAAATAGAGTATGCCTCTTGCAATATCACTAGCAATTCAAATTCTTTCTTTCCAACATGATCGATCTTCAGGATTGAAAATTTTATCTGGGATCCAATGCTTATTCATATACTAGAAGCGACTTAGATCCTTCAAGGTAGTACACAAGAAGTGGCTAGATTACGATGATTTGTTTTTCCTATCATCTTCCTCTCAGTCTGGAATTCTTTTTCTCCTTTGGCCATTTCTTTCTTGAGCCTCTTCACAGCCACGACATTTCCATTGTTCATTAACATCCCTTTGTAAAGCGTGCCAGATGCTTCTGGACCGAGCTCTTCTTTGAAATCTTATTTTGCTTGCACAAGTTCTCCGTATGTAAATGCTAGTAAACCAACATCCTTAATCAGTTCAACATTTCCGTTTTTGGAATTGGAGACCTTATTATATCTCCCTGCATGATTCCTGTAGACATAAACTCTGGAAATCGACGGGATTAAGGTTGCAAAAGTAGCCAGTTAAATGCTGACAATCACGATGTCTACACGAATCTCTTTCTTGATTTCTTTGCCAGGAAATTGCCAGGATTTAGGTTGCAAAAGTAGCGAGTGAAATGCTGACAATCACAATGTCTACAAGAATCTCTCTCTTGATTTCTGTGCCAGAATTACCCGAAACTCCTTGAGTTGAGGTGTAGTTGTACTTACCTTGACGAGGGTAATGCTGGAATTACTCATCTTCCTTATCTCAATGGAAGCCTCTGCTTTCTGCAGTTTCCATTTAGAAAGTTTGCTGCATAGCAGGTACAGCAGGCTCTTCCACAATGTTCTTTCGTGATTCCTTCGAAAACATCATATTCAGTTGCTGAAGCAGCGGAGAAAATCTCTTCTGCAGCGTTGGTTGGGGAAAAGAGCATCTGATCCAAACTCTGCCACGTGATAGCATGCAATTGCCACTGTTGAGAATTGAAGCTGAAGCAATGGACTTGCCGGGATCCGTAACATTTACTTCTCTACCTTCTTGCTGCAAAACTGCCTTCCATCTTTTGTTAGTATCAAACGGCATTGCTAAAAAAGTCGGACTGTCTCTATTTGCTGCCCGTATGACAGTTTTTTCCAGGATTCCTGGCAAGAAAAATTCCAACAGAATAGCCATTGATTTTCTTGTAGAATCCATATGCATGGAGTCCTGAAGGAGACAGCTATGGAGAGTTTGTACTGACTGTTAAAGAAAGCCCAGGCGATAGGGATAGATGGGAATAACTTTGTTTCTGGGCAGAAGCAGTCTTTAATGCAGAAAGTATGAGAATATAGTGAAAAAGCTATGGAGGGTGGGTTTCCATTTTTTCTTGGGTTTAAGCTTCTTTCTTTCATCGAGGAAGGTGTTATTTACAGAACTCATTACTTTCCTTGGAGACTATTGGCTCATTGCAGTCGATAAATTGAAGCTCTGTATGTACGCAGTATGAATAAATGCATGAATCTAGGGAAAAAAATCTAGTTCGTCGAGCTTTTTGGTTGGTCCTAACATTCTCCACTTGTCCAACTATTATTGCTTATGGATATCAAATGTACCTCTCTACTCTGCAAAGTAGTTTCCCCTCTTTTAGAATAAAATATTGTAGGATCTAAACCATGTAATTTCAAATGATTCACACCATGTAATCCTTCCTCATACACAAGTTGTCCAAACAGAACCTCATTTTTATGGTGGAGGAACAGGGCTTCTCTTGACCATGTCAACTTACAGTTGTTCAAAAATTTAACTCCTGTCAAATCAAAGTACATTTATTCCCTATTTGAGCCCTAATCTTTAAAATTTATTTTTCTTCTAACTCATTTTCGAACCAACTTCCCTCAATAGAATAATTTTGCATGTAAATCCAAAATGTTACATATTTTTTGACCACACATTTCCCAAAAGAATTACGTTTTACAAAATTTATTCTAAAATAAACCCCCATCAAACATGGGCTTAATCTGATGGAATAATGTGGTTAATAAAATCTACTCTTTCTAATCAAGATTGGAGTCCAATCTTGCACCAGGTAAGGGATTAATTAAAAAATATTAGTATTAATTACAAAGTGATTTGGAACCACTAATAATATTTTAATCTTGGTTCATATGCAAGTTAGTATTTCTATACGATTTTTCTTTATTATTTGGATTGGAGTCTCAAACTCAAGATTCAGCGTAGACTGCAGAATTCAATCTTTCTTGGGAATTTATTAGAAGTCTTTCAAATTCTCGTCTTATACTACATGATATATTCACAAATTTGTCTAAAGTCTACTAAATGATTGCTTTGGAAAAAAAAAAAAATAGTGAAGCCACTTCTTATTACGAGTCGTCCTTAAATTTGAAACTTTCGCGTGTATCTGTTTAGCTATTGTTGGCTTCTGAATGATGAAGGTTTTCTCTTCTTTCTTTTTTCTTCTTAAATTCAATGTTAGTATGATGGAATTATATGATATATAGGCATTTACAGCAGTTCACTTTAATGGCTTAAATGAATTTTGATGGCATCGTGTCTTGGAAAAGGTGAAATTTGATGAATTACTCGTCATTTTTTCCAATAATGTTATTGTCCTGATATGAATATTTTCCTCCCAGCTTCTCATTCAGAAATGGATGGTATAATTTTTTACTTTACACAGAATCATCAATTTGCATTTTTTTAGAACGCAAAAGCATACCATCAAATTTGAAGTTCCTAGTGACATTCCTTCTTCGTCGGCCATTGCTCTCAATAAAAAACAAAGGCTTTGATACCAATTTTTGAAAAATTAGAGATCTAGTTGAAAGCAATTAATTTGAAGAAAGAAAAATAGTCAAACGAGAATACATAGGATTTATAGAAATGCTCCTCAATGAGAGGCGATGTCTTCTTTCATCTGTGTAATAATTCATTATGATAAGAAGTTCACAATAGAAAATTGCATATCTTATATTCTTTAACATCTTTCTCTTTGATGTCAATAATACAAAGTTCTGAAGACGGCTACCTATTTATAGATGTCGATTTGCGTACTGATTCCGTACAATGACGATAATTAGACTTCACAACTTTACAGAATTTAAGTGATCGTGAATTCGTTTAGCAAACTTTTATCGAAGTGTAAATTTCAAGCTCGTCAAAGTTTTCAAAGCTATTTCGATTTATGTTGTTGACGATTGTAATTTTGTAAATGATTTTGTTTAAGTGAGTAGGGATGAAAAAACTTGCGAGAAGTTCGTGTCACTTGAAAGATAAAAGCGTTGTAGCCATCTAGTAGTAAATTATAATTGAGGCTAGCCCGTGTGCATGTGTACTATATTTTAGTCCTTAGGAAACAGAGTGAATAACAGTTAACTAAAGCTCCAAAATCAATACTTCAGAACCAGAAAGAAAATCCTAAAATCAAACAAAACATAATTTAATTGACTATTTTATTTAACATTCCAGAAAACTTGAGATGTGTACGGTCCCTTCGGCCTCAACAAAACTATATGGTACTTAGGAAAGAAGTAGGACTTGGAGGTACTGGGATGTCTACAGTCTCTTCCAGCATCAATAAAACTTTCTTCATCGATGGACGGAGAGATGGTTCGTCTTGGATGCACCATATACCAATTTTAATCATTCTCTCAAATTTTCTCTTGTCGACGTCCTCATCTCGCACCAGTTTACTTGTCTCACCTTCCTGGAGACACTTGTAGACCCACTCATCAAGAATAGCTTCATCTTCAGGCAAGCTCCAATCAACACTTTTTCTACCACATATGATCTCTAGTAGAACAATTCCAAAGCTGTAAACGTCTGCTTTAACTGTCACAGGCAATTTTTTGTGCCACTCTGGGGCTACATAACCCCGAGTTCCTCTTATCTGTGTATAGGTGTTTGTTTGATCTTTCTTTAAGAGCTTTGCCAGTCCGAAGTCGGAAATTTTTGCACACCTATGCTCATCCATGAGTATGTTTTGTGGTTTTATATCACAATGAATGATCTGCGTCTCACACTCCTCGTGCAAATAGAGGATGCCTCTTGCAATATCAAGAGCAATTCGAATTCTTTCTTCCCAATATAGTCGGTTTTCGGGATTGAAAAGTATATCTGCAAGTGTTCCATTTTTCATGTATTCATATACCAAAATCCACTTAGATCCTTCGAGGCAGTAACCAAGAAGTCGGACCAGATTACGGTGATATGTTTTTCCTATCACCTTCATCTCAGTCTGGAATTCTTTTTCTCCTTCTTCCAATTCTTTCTCGAGCCTCTTCACGGCCACAACATTTTTGTTGTTCGATAAGATCCCTTTGTAAACTGTGGCAGATGCTCCTCTACCGAGCTCTTCTTTGAATTCATTTGTTGCTTGCACAAGTTCTTCGTAGTTAAATTCTCGCAAACCAACATCCTCAATCAGTTCAACATTTCCGAACTTAGAGATCTTCTTATAGCTAACACGATTTCTGTGGACATATATCCCACTAAATGCGAAGATCAAGGCAGCCAAAGCAACAAGTAAAATGCTGACGATTAAGATGTCTAAACGAATCTTTTTGCCCGATTTACCCAAAACTCCTTGAGTCGATGATGATGTTGTTTTGCTCACCCTGATAAGAGCAACGTCTGAACTGCCTTGTGATCTTCTTCCATATCTTAATGGAAGTCTTTGCTTTTTGCAGTTTCCACCTTGAGAGAAGAGAGCCG